AGAATTACTGCATATTGTCCGTATCAAATAACAATAAGATTCTGGTTTCCAGAGTATCATTATTTTCTTCTTATCTTTCTTGTACAGCAGTCTTTCCTTTCTCTCTCTCTCAAACATTATCAATAACTTTAAGAATATCTGTTGGGTCGAAATGGCGGAGTAATAAGATTCTGGTTTTCAGAGTATCATTATTTTCTTCTTAACTTTCTTGTACAGCAGTCTTTCCTTTCTTTCTCTCTCAAACATTATCAATAACATTAAGAATATCTGTTGGGTCGAAATGGCGGAGAATAGCCTGAAAACATATTAAAGTTTCCCAATCTCTGCCAATGCAGGAAGGCAAACTTCAGTTATCCATCATAACGGAGTATTTCATGCCATGAAGTACTTTGGGAATGTATTTATTGAACAGATGTGTATGTAAAAAGGGTTTCTCAAAGAATTTATTCTTTGTAGATAAAGGCCTGGCCCACTTTGTAACAAAAACAGGACCACCACAGTGGATCAGACCAAACGGTACTCTGGCCATTTCTAAGTGACTATTAGCAGATACCTAAGATAGATCACCATATGCTTGCCTTGTATGCATAATAATTCCTTGATTATAACATTTGACCACAGGTGACCTAGCAGATCATAAGTGAGAAGTGGTGACCGTATTTAGTATCCTTCAATGATTTCCTCTTTTGTGAAATCTGTTGCTTTTTAAACTCCGGTAAACATCCAGACAGTTGAAGGTAGTAGGATAACACTCAGGATAACAATGTTTTACAAAGAAGGAAACCCTATTTTCTTAGAATCTTCAACCTATTAGCTTCACTTGATGTCCCCTAGTCTTTAAACTGGGAAAGACTGCCAATCTTCATTTTGTTCTGCTCCAGATTTTGTAGACTTATGTTATACCTCCTGCAATTAAACTTTTTGTGCTGAAGGGCTCCAGTTTATGCAACCAACAGTTGTGCATATAGTGCTTCATACTTTTGAACATCCCTCCTGTACTCCTATTCCAGTTCAATTACATCCTTTCTGATGTATGGAAAAAGAACTATATACAGTATTCAACACACGAGATCCTTTGAAAAAGTTTTTATGCTACACAATGTACCGAAACTATTTTTAGAGGTTAAACAACTATTTCCTATTCAAGTTTTGCATAATAAATTTACTGCAAAATTTGCTATTATATATAGTTTCATATATATTATATATATATATATACACACACACACATACTGTTTCTCTCTCTCTCTCTCACATCACATGATAATTGAAATGCAGACAAAGTTTGAAGACCTTAACCAAAGTAACTGGGTAGGCTTTTATATTCCATCAAGATTAAAGCCTCAGAAGTAGTGAAAAGAGCAGCTATACAGTAGCGGAAAGAACACCCAGTGAAGTGAAACTAAGTGTTATTCTTACAAACAGGAAAAAGATCTATACTATCACCTGGTAATCAACTTTGCAGCAAGAATGCGAACTTGATGGTGACTATCTGCAAGAAAATGTGGGAAAGCATCACTCACAGGTAGATCTTCATTTCTCACATTAAGGATCGCCCACTTGCAATGAGGATCAGCCTGAAGAAAATTAATATTGTGGTTTAAAATATACAGAAGACTTACAATGGAATATACACTGATATATGCAAAAGATCTTTAGATGCTGTTTTTAAGTACACCTTAACCATATACTTAACATGCCAATGAATGTCAGAAAATCTGGGATTACCTCCAGCAGGGCTTTCATGCAGTTTAAAAGGGCCACTCTTACTGGTGCTGTGCATTTCCCTCCTTGACCTAAATGCCTAAAATAAGGAAGATTTGAATAGAGGAAAAAGTTGCCAACAGTTTTCAGAAAAAGTCTAACAAATTAGTTTCTGCTGCTCACAGTTCATTCTTTTGTGCTCAATAGGAACGTTTGGGAGGATTTGACATTTTTATTGGTAATCTACAATTGTAAACAATACTCATTTTTTGTTGCTGAAGTTATCACTTATAATTACTGATTCAGAGTACAATCAGTCTTCGTTAACACACAACAGCGTAGCATTTATTGCTCTAATACTATCTTAAGGATGATGTGATTCTTTGCTACAAGTATAACATGGCACAGAAAATCTGGAAAGTTAAATGCTGGATAAAGATATCACAGGATACCAACAGCAAGACACACAACAGCACTACAGTCTTCACACTGATAGCAAAGTTAAAAATTTTATTGCCAACAGACTTCTGCAATAAATAGATAAAACATACCAAAAGGCTCCAACAACTGTTAAAAATTGTCCTTGGGCATCCCCTGTCTCTTCAGCCTGTGCGTTGGACTGGGCCAAACCTACTGCTATAGGAAGCAAATTATTTAGAATTACTTTACAAACTTCTTGATCTCGACGGTACAGAGAACACACAGCACTGTGAAAGAAAGAAAGAAAAAATATCTTGAAACACTGAACAGCCCCCATATCCTCTAGTTGTTGAACTAAAATAGCTATAAAATATGCTGAATAATTTCTCTCTTACGAAAGAGGCCTAAGAAGCATAAGAAGATCGTCTTCAGGCAAGAGGTGTTCTTCAATAGGGAGCTCCTTCAAAAGGACCAAGTACTGGGGAACAACAAAAAAAAAAGAACCAAAATGGAAAATGATACTTAAGAAAATAAGTAGACAAAGAGAAAAACTATGTAACATTTTCAGTAACTCTTAGATGAAATCATGCAGCAAGGATACCTATTGTCAGCTCTTACATGTTAAGACTCTGACCATCTTTTCATGCAAAGACTGTCACACAGTAATACAGCTCATGAAATATTTAGTTTTGGCAGTCAAAAATACTGCCTTTGTAAACTAAAACACAGATCCCATTCTACTACAGAGACCATTTCTAGTTATTTAACAAATAATTAATGATAAAGGCAAGATGTTTATACTTCTCAACTCTTTATTTTCTGGCTTACAAATTCTAACTGCTCTTTCCCCAACCACAGCACACTGAAAGTAGCCATTTAATGTCTTCTCAGGGGACCGATGACAAGCGAAAGACAGGAACATATAATTGACAAGAATATACAAATTTAAAACCAGTACAAATACAGGGGTGGGTCTGCTGTAAAAAAACCTCACACTCACCATGTGCAGATGCAATGGCTTAGCACTATCAAAGACGCTGCCATCAGTAAGCATTAACAGCTTCCTCCGTATATCAGAGGCTCGGAAACTCACTGTCTGAATTTGGACTGTAGTTACACAAATACACAAGAACCTCAGAATTTCAAGGAGCAGTAAATCCTGCTTTGTCAACTGTTCTTCAGCTAATGGGCTCAAAGCACCTGAAAATAAGATTTTCATGTAAGAAATGCTTCTCCAAGGACAATAACAAAGTTGGTAACATTTTACGTCTTTACAAAACTAATTTAAGTTCTCAGAAAAGATAGAGTACTAGCAACCTTTAAGTTTATTTGTTATTGAGCAGTTACTGCATCAGTAACAGCTTCTTGAGTGTTTCCCAGTTCTACAAAGGCCTCTCTAAACCAAAGGCTTTCAATTTTATGTGCCCATACATATGGCTGATTTCCCCATCAAGGTTACAATGAATTCAATGGAACCATCTGCAGCTGTGTTCTTTTCTATTGTCAACTATAACTTCGGATATATTTTCAACTACAGATTCAAAGCTTCCCCAAAATTGAAATTATGACAATTACTACTATGTTAATATCCTCATTGAAATTTCAATTATAACATAAACAAAATAGTTACAAGTGCCATTTTCTTGCCACATTTAGAACTCTTGTAACTTTCTGCAAACACAAACTTTATTTGCTGGAATTATTTATTGAAAGGTTGGAGAAGATACTTCTGAAGACACTTAATCAACATGATGGAGAAAACACACCAGCTGCTGTGTGTGGCATTAATGTAACACCCTGATTTCCTTCTCATTCAATAATAAACACAAGACATAGTCCTGATTAAAAGCTAAGATACACACTATTCTAAGAAAGAATTTAAAACAAAAGAGAACATCGCTACTTGTAGCTCCTAACAGAAACACACAGACAGATTCATACTCTTGTCCCTCTGAAGGTCCAGAGATATAAGAAAGCTGATCTTGTCAAGAACTACTGATCAGGAACAGAAGAAAAGTTAAATAGGACTACTTTACAGAAAATGAAGCACAGCCTAATGACAGAGGCACGTATCTTACAGACATGCTTTCTAGTCTCTTTGCCAAAATTTCTGCCTGACTTTGAACAAGTTAGTTAGCTAGCTTCTCTGCTTGCATTTTGCTATTTACAAAATAAAAAATAAACTCTTGCTTTCCAAATGAGCTAGAACACTTCATTAACATCTTTTTAACACTAATGAGGTACAAAAGAATTATTATTGTTTATAAAGTACCTGGTTCAACCATTACTGGCTTCAACTATTAGTAAAGCAGCAGAATTTTGTATCTCACTTATTCAAGCAAAGTGCAATCTGTAAAAACACACTTTTGCAAATAGTTTTGGACACAGAGAAGACTTACCTGTTACATTTTGCATCTCACCAGATTCATTTGTATCACTGATGTCAGTCACCGAATGATCATCAAACAAATCATCAGATACCTGGTTATCTACTTCCATTATACTCTCTTCAGGATCGTTCCCTGTTAGATCCACTTCTCCCAGTTCACTTGGTTTTCCAGTAAATGTCAACTGACAAAACACCACAGCCTTTTACAGTTGGCTTGTAAGGACAGGAGAAACATCGCAGGTGTATGACAAGGAAAGACACTACAGTTTCCCAGTGAACTAGAATGGGTGACGACAAAAAGGGCTACACTGAACTGATGAATTTCATCCTCTGTGATAAATCTGTCTTCTACGTAAGTCAATTGTTTGATTTGAACTATTCTCTTTAGGACACAAGCTTCCTAAGACAGACATTAGTCTCTGTGTTTTAGATAGTGCCAAGGACATTGCTGGTATTTGAAAAATTATTCTCTCTGCAAGACTCACAAACTTCTCACTATACTTCGTAATTAAAGAGAAATGAAAGGAAGGCATATGAGCTTTTTGAGGGCACACTAATTGCTACTTTCCCTACCAGATGACAAGTTAACAGAAGGTAAGACTCTCAGCTTCTCCCCACCTGAAAAAACAAAGAATTTTGCCTACCTAGACCTGACTACATGATAATGTGCCAAAAAGAGAAGTTTTAAGAGTTGTGCTAAACACAGTGATGTGCCACCCTATCACTTTTCTCAGTGAGAGAGTCATTAACAGTTAGAAGATTTAATACCTAAATAATAAACAACTTTAAATTGTTTTAAGGCACAGAAGTTCATCAAACTAAAAAATAAAAAGAAGCTTTTAAAACTTTACAAGTGCATTAAAGTTAAATGTCATGTGTTACAGAAATTCTTGCTGTGGCATAAGATCTGTATATACTTTTACTCTAATATAGTATTAAAAATTTTCCAGAAATAACAGAATTTGTTTTTTAATGTGAGCTGGCATGCTAACTTTGATCAAATGTTATCCATCTGCTCTCATTTTTCCCCTACACTTGTGTTCAAATGCTAAGTAGAAATGTTTCCAGTTAGGAATGCTCTATAAAACTTAATGTATTTTGATTTTTTTTTTTTCAGTAATAAGTAACTCAATTGGTTTGCTTCCAAATTATTATACTGTAAAAACAATCCTCTCATAGAAGAGCACTGCATTTAGAAACAGACAGAATGTACTTACCAGATTTTTGCAAATGTCTACAAGATCATTCATAAATTTTGACGTTAACAAACGCAGGAATATATTAGACAGCATCTTACTAGCACTGTTCTGTAAGAAAGCAAGACATAGATAAGTTAATTCATTTTTTTTCAGGTACCGTATGTATGATATTCAACTTTGTGATCTCAATAATGAAGAAAGAAATGTAAATTCCTTTATGAACTTTACCTTGGTACAATTGCATAAACACTTTGTACACTGCATTATGAAAGTCCTCAGTGAATTGATCTGGGCATCTTCATTTAGTTTGGTTTTAGATTGAGAAATACTTTCTCCAGCATAATGAATGAGAGACTAGTAAAAATATAACAGTTAAAATAGCTCAGTTAAATTCCTGTATACATTGGCACATACACAGCACACACACAGAGAAAAAAGGACATGATTCTCATTCATACATTCTCATTTGTACAGCTTTGATATTTACAGTGTGCATCAATGAGTTTGGACTTTTTTTCCTTTGATTTTTGTCTCACTCATTCTGCTCCAGAAGTGACAAAAAGATGGCCTAGACCTGCCTGAAACAGTGACATTTTCATCACAAAAGAAAAATACAGCATCCCTCTGTAATGTGTAAGTTTTGGGTTTCCACATTTAAGCAAGAAACCACCTCAAATAGCAGTAATAGTAATAATAATAATAATAGCAGCTGTCTTCATACTGGTTTAAACCATCAAATGATCTTAACAAATTCCTGCACAAAAGACCTATAAATGAAAGGAATTGTTATCCTCTAAGTCCACATGTCCATGATCATTTTATTTTTTTAAGAGGTGACTCAGAAATGTATCGATATTTAGAATACTCTCCACTGCAAAACTGATGCATTGATGTACTGACAGAATTTCAGTGACTCCTCTCTTTCAGCAGCACTAACATATTTAAACCTCTCTCAACTGCCTTTTTAAAAGCGGAAACCAATGGAAATATTAATGGTCTGAAAATGTGAAAATATGAATAGATTTTTTAAAATTATTTTGTATTTAATGGTTTATTTCATTTTAACATCTCCAAAAACACATTGCTGCTTACCTTTGCATTCTGAAACAACTCTGATTTACAGGCATCCTCTTCTTTAAATATACCAGTGTAGCAATAGCAACCAAGAACACCAATCAAGAGACTGACACATCGGACAAGGTGTTCTGCAGCAACAAACTTAGACTAAATCAAATACACAGTATATATATCAGTGGTTTATCATTAAACTTTTTCATCAAAAATACAGAATTCTTTAGAGTCTTTTTTAAACACTTTTATATACTGATTTCACCAAAGTTAACAAAAATTTGCATCCTAGTGTTTTGCATTGCAGTGCCTCAGCTCCCTAACAAGTCCTTTTGGCTGGCCGTGTTATAATAATCTCTGTATGTCCCATGGCCCTTACGCTTCCTTCCTTCACAGTACTTTAAATTCTCCCTTTCCTTTAGATTCCATCATAGCAGTACTTCCTGCTCTT